GGAAAGGAATGGAACCAGTGTTGAACAGAGGTGAACAAACTTAAGTCAGTGAGAACAACTCAACAGTAACAGCCGAGTCGTACCCAAGTTAACCTTCACACAGTGAGGTCCCAGGTACCCAGTGATAACTGCCCGTGAGACCCAACAACAAGCAGCGATGTGTTGATCCGTCCACGATAGGAAGGCCTGGGACCACACCTCACTCCTATAACACCATCTGTGAGGGAATTACTACACCACGTCAGGCCCCTCATAACACCATCTGTGAGGGAATTACTACACCACGTCAGGCCCCTCTTGATGCCATCTGTGAGGGAATTACTACACCACATCAGGCCCCTCATAACACCATCTGTGAGGGAATTACTACACCACATCAGGCCCCTCATAACACCATCTGTGAGGGAATTACTACACCACGTCAGGCCCTTCATAACACCATCTGTGAGGGAATTACTACACCACGTCAGGCCCCTCATAACACCATCTGTGAGGGAATTACTACACCACGTCAGGCCCCTCCCATCCCACATCAGGCCCTCATAACACCATCTGTGAGGGAATTACTACACCACGTCAGGCCCCTCAGAACGCCATCTGTGAGGGAATTACTACACCACGTCAGGCCCCTCAAAACACCATCTGTGAGGGAATTACTGCACCACGTCAGGCCCCTCAACACCATCTTTGAGGGAATTCCTACGCCACGTGATGCCCTTCATAACATCATCTGTGAGGGAATTCCTACATCACGTGATGCCCTTCATAACATCATCTGTGAGGGAATTACTGCACCACGTCAGGCCCCTCAACACCATCTTTGAGGGAATTCCTACGCCACGTGATGCCCTTCATAACATCATCTGTGAGGGAATTCCTACGCCACGTGATGCCCTTCATAACACCATCTGTGAGGGAATTACTACACCACGTCAGGTCCCTCATAACACCATCTGTGAGGGAGTTACTACACTACTTGTCTGCTGTTCAACACCTCAGTGCACAAGATCTACATGACCTCCACTGTAAACATTAATCTGTATGTTCACTGTTGTTCCTTTCCCTTTCTCTAGTGAAGGCTTTTGTTAAACCACCAATGTCAATGTATGTAATAAGTCATTTATGTCCAATGTATATTTTCAGCCTTCGGGTTGCAGAACTTTTTCAAAAACCTTTAATTATTATTATTACACACACACATACACACATACTATACAATACTGTACATATATACAATCAGAAAGAAAAGTATTAAAAATACTGAGTCTACCCTTAAGTCCACTCCATGCTTTGTTAATAATAAAGCACGGAGTGAACTTGTTTTTTTCTTGGGGATTAGCCCACCCGGGCACAGGTCACTGACCCACATCGGGGCCTTGGGGCAAAAATGTAATAATAATAATGTTGTAAATCGAAAAGTTGCGAATTCGTATTCAGGGAAAGTTGTTGGAGCTTCCAATAACTTACTGACAAAAACCTATGGTTCTTCAGGCTTCTACGCCCTTGACAAAAAAAAAACCCTATGACCCTTCAGGCTTCTACGCCCTTAACTCGTGAGACATAAAGGTAAGCATGAACTTAGCATGCTTCCCAGTTGGGCGCTGTAAGCGCTTCTGCGCTTCACCTTGCACAGGATGTAAGGGGGTGCCCAATAAAACATAATAACAATACAGTGAACCCTCACTTTACACGGTTAATTCAACCCACAGGGTACCGCGGAAAGTGAGAAACGCGTAAAGTGAACAACATAACATATGGGATTAAATGAAATAGAGACCGGCTGACCCCCAAACTCCACTTTTTCCGACACAATACCTATGTTCTAGTAAAAATAACATCTTAATTTTATGATGGTACATGCACACAATTAATACTTAAGAGAAATAGAGAAATAGAAATAGAGAAATACAGTCGCCAAGTTAATGTCCATTCAAATAATGGACTCCACTCCCTCCCCCTCTTCTCACACTACACTCGCTGGCTCTTCCCTCTGAGAAATTTTTGGGGGAAAACCACTAGATTTTAAGGTATAGTAATAAATAATACCTCAAACTAAAGTTAGGATAATATAATTGGCATTGCTGGATTCCTTGTAAGACCAGGAATATTTTGAATATAAATGTCATATATTTTGCACAAAAGATAACATATTTACTCAGAGTAAACAAAATACTTACATTAGATCTAAAATTTGTATGTCTAATGCAAAATCTATGATGTTTATATTCAAAATGATCATCAAATTGTAAGAATTCCAGCAATGTAAATTATATTCTGGCCGGGTAATTTGTATGAATTTTATGAGCTAAAACAAATATCTTCAGTTAATAAAAAAAAATATTCTTCACAACACTATCTGTCAATCAAAGTACCCCACCTTGCCTCCCCCCTCTTCCAACCGCGCCAGATGGTCGGTCGGTCCCCCACCCCCCACCAACCCTCCCTACCAGATAAATGTTTGGGAGAAACCAGAATATTTACCTTTTTAGTAATAAATAATACCTCAGACTAAAGTTAGGATAATATAATTGACATTGCTGGATTCCTTGCAAGACCAGGAATATTTTGAATATACACTTCATATATTTTGCACAAAAGAAAACATATTTGCTCTGAGTAAACAAAATACTTGCATTAGATCTAAAATTTGTATGTCTAATGCAAAATCTATGATGCTTATATTCAAAATGATCATCAAATTGTAAGAATTCGAGCAATGTAAATTATATTCTGGCCGGATAATTTGTATGAATTTTATGAGCTAAATAAAAAAATATATACTTCACCCGCTTAAAGGGGTACACGCACAGCAGAATGTGAGCATCCCGGGTTCCGGCAGGGTACCGCGTAAACATGGAAATGCGGAATGTGGGACCGCGTGAAGTGAGGGTTGACTGTAATAATAAAAAATAATTCGTAAATAAAATTTATACTAAAAAATACAAAATTGAAAATAAAATAATAAAATATTAATGATAATAATAACAATGCTAATAATGATAATAATGACAACAAAACTATTAATAATAATAATAATGACAACAAAACTATTAATAATAATAACAACCAATAATAATAATAATAATAAAGAACCATAAAGAAATTCAAAACTGAAAAAAAGATCATAAGTGAGAAACAATATACTGAATTGTATGTATGTTATGTTGTCAATAGTAAGAGAAACAATTGAAACTCTGAAATTGTGTAAATGTGGCAGAAAGTCAGATCGGCAACCTGGAATTTGGTCACAATTTTCGTGATACCATATGGCAGCAGGGTCTACCATATGCTTCCAGTATCTTCCCAGGCAGTAGTACCTCCCTGTTTGGTAGCCGCCTACTACCTACTCAACATTTTTAATAAATTTTGTTCTGATTATTTGTGAGAGGGTTTTCCAATTATTATTTTGTGTGTGTGTGTGTGTGTGTGTGTTTATTTTATCAGAGGTTTGCGGGCATTTATCACAAGTTTTGTTATCTCTGGGAAATCTCTATTACTTGATGTGCTCTCGGCTTGGAAATTGAGCATTACTGGTGCACCGTATAATACACAAATTACCATAATTGTTGAATAGTACTCTGGTACCAGGAGCAGATGCAGGTACACACGAAGTTCACCAGATGACGCGTGTTTACAATAAGTGCTTGGTGAACTATCCTTATTAGTATATTATCCTTGTAGTGTCCTTCCAATATATTGCAGTAGCTACAAGAATACATTTTAAGTCTTCACCTGATGTTCCAGATTGTTACACAAGGCAGGGTTAGAGATACAGGTACTGTGCTCGGGTCTGGCTTTAGCTTCTGAGGGGTCCTGTACAAGATAATGATTGGGGCCCCAATTCCTAAGACAACCTTCCCATCGTGCCCAGTCCCTTAACCCACATACAGTATATTCCTGATTTTCTGAGAACGTCTTCTTGATAAAAGATAAATCAGGAAGGTATATCAGTATCACTTGCCAGGTTTTTGTAGACAGAAACCACCAAAGCCCACACTTATTGGTGCCAGATGGCTAAACACACTTGCCTACATTATTGAGTTGCACACATCACACAACAGATCAAAATTTAAATATGAATCAAATATATTGTATATCAGGAGGGAGCCCCCTATGTGATGGGGGCCTTGTGCAGCCACACTAATTGCACATAGCTGGGGCCCGTCCCTGCTGGTACTACTTTTGCTTACTGTACATTTGATTAGGTTAGGCTGGGTTAAGTTAGGTTCAGACGATTAAGTTAGAAAAGGTTGTTTGGTTAGTTTAAATGTCATATAAGAGGACTCTGGAATGGAATGGAGATGTGAGACACAAGAGAGGGAGGACATGGGAGCTGTGCTATGGTAATGTTTGGGGCATTACAGAAGTTTAGAATGGGATTGGGATCTCTAAGATTCTAGTACCGTACTGTACCATAGGAGGGATAGGTGACTGTTGTATATCAGTTTCAGGCTCAACATAAAAAAAATTTCCTACTTTTTTTTTTTTACCCGTGTATTTATCAGAGCTGTAGCCAGAAAATTTATCAGTGATACTGTACCTTGCAAGTGTCAAAACTTCCAGCCTTCCCTTGTATACAGTACTGTACAGTGTACAATGAAATACAAAAGTCGTGTCATGAAATTTGGTGAAAACATATGCCGAAGGGCTAAACTTTTGGTGCGCTCTGCCTTGTGGTAGGGGGCTCTCATAATGTTTCAAGAGTTATATTTAATCTTCGGACAAAGCCGCACCACGACTTTTGTCTTTGATTGTACACCGATGGATTTGGGGAGGAGCTGATGCAGCCTCCGCTGCAAAAGGTGCCACTTTAAATGGTGAATGTTATTTATTGATTTTGAAATTGTACTCGGAGTTCATGAACACTTGTGGTGTATTAAGCTACCCTTTGGAGCATTATTAGTTTCATCATTGGGCGAGTCTAAAATTTTTCTCAGACTCTTTATACTCTTCAGATGCTATGCAGATTAATTCAACCCGTACTGATCATGTAATACTGTATGTATTAATCATTCTTCAGGGACGAGCAGCTGATCTTAGGCACATAGAGATGTGTGCCCGGAAGATTGCTGAGGAAGCAGAAGGGAACAAAATTGTGGTGGAGAAATCTACAGTTCCTGTGCGTGCTGCTGAATCCATTACCCACATCTTGTCAGCCAACACAAGGCATGGAGTATCTTTTCAGGTAAATTGACTTTTGTCATCATTAATTCCATCTGTTACTTTGTGAAAAGTCAGCACTGCAGTTCAGTTTTCTAAATGACTGGCTGGGGAACCCGGCATTGCCAGAGTGTGTGTTTGAGGGATTAGTCTTTAGCCTATGTTCATGACCACTGTCAGCTACGTTATATCCACCACATAATCTATACTACATCTTACAGTTAATATACTCTACATCCACAACACACTCATCTACATTACATTAACTGCAATCATTGACACTTCCCCTCCCCATTCTGATGACTGCCTTGTGGAATGTCCCAGTCTTGGAGATCTTTGTTGTAAACACTTCTCCAAGTGTCAGAGGGGGAGACGGGTCCAACTGTCTCTCTTTTTCGGGGGGGGGGGGTTAGCATGGGAAAGGACATCCATTCCTTTGTGGAACAAGCTGGCCTTTACCCAAGCTGTAAGTTTTATCTGTTAATGTTTGAATGTTTTTTGATAGTTCTATGCTGTTTATTATTATTTATTTTTATTTCTTTATTTTATTTTTTTACCTTGCATTATTTGTTTTGAGCTTTCTAAGCTTTGTGTTTAATTCGGTGGCATATGACTACAGCTGTTGTGTCGCTGTAATTAGTACCACAATCACTCAATCAGTCATCATCGGCTACTCTCACTTTTAAATGAGGGTTGCCAAAATCCCACCTTCATGACACTTTTGGAATGCATGCCCTCTGGCGGACCTTTGGCCGTTTTGGCTGGCCACCAAAATTCATTGCCATTGTGAGGCAACTCCAAGATGGCATGAATGGCAGTGTACTGCACAATGGCAACTAGTCTGAGTTCTTCCCCATTCAAATGGGGGTTAAACAAGGATGTGTACTGGCACCAACTCTCTTCCATTTTCTTGGCTGCCTTCCTTACTCGTGCCAGTGCCAATTTACCCGGCGGGATGGACATTGAGTACCAGATGAAGGATCTATTCAACATAAGACGACTCCAGGCAAGAACAAAGATGTTGGCAGCTTCCGTTACTGAACTTCATTATGTAGACGACCTCAGTCTCATTGCTCACCCTGAACTCGACCTACAGGAGATCATGAACACTTACTCCGATGCGTAAATTGTGTATGAACACTTCGGCCTTGGGGTGAATGCAGGTTAGATTCGGATTCTTCTTTCAGTTTGCCCCTGGTTCAGCCACACCTCCACCATCCAGCTTAACGGTACAGTATCTCCCACCTGTCTGCCATCGCGGACATCGATGAAGAGATTCAGCATTGGATCAGATGTGCATCTCAAGCCTTTGACAGACTCAGAAACTGTGTCCTCAGCTGTAGGGAGCTGAAATATTCTATAAAGTTACATGTACAGTACAGCTCCTCCCCGACTTACGACCTACTCGACGTACTACCTCCCGCACTTACGACCTGCCTCAGTCGTACCAAAATTTGGTCAAATTAAGTATTTTCGAGTCCTAAAGTCAGTACACAGACAAAATTTTTGTTTGTAATTCACTTTAAAATGGCTGGCAAGCTTAAAAGTGAGAGTTTTGTGGTGCTGAGAAGAAAAAGTGAGACCCATTTTAAAATTTCCATGTATTATTTAAGCATTTCCGACATACGACCATTTCGACTTACGACTTGTATGTCGATACCTAACCCCGTTGTAAGTCGAGGAGGAGCTGTATATCGAGCAGTGGTTCTCTCCATCCTGCTGTATGGCAGCGAGACATGGGTCACATACAGGAGGCACCTCAAGGAACTTGAAGACTTTCACCAACATAGTCTATGTTCCATCCTCCAAGCTCACTCTGAAGAGAAGAAAGCAAATGCCATTATTCTTGCTGACACCAACTTTTGGAGCATCGAGACTGCCATTTATCCATGAATAACTATGTTGGACTGGCCATGGATGACAGTAGACTGCCAAAGCAGCTAATTTACAGTCGCCTAACGAATTGTAAACATACGCTGGTAGGCAACTGAAAAGGTGCAAGGATAGTCTTAAGACAAGCTTGAAAAAATGCTATATCGACCCCCTCGCCTGGGAGACGATTACACAAGGTGTCAATACTTTCAAGTTAACCTGACTGTATATCGAGGCAGACAAGCACCAACGCCGGAAAGATGCCGCCGCCACCCCTCCCGCACGAATTGTAGCCCCCCCCCCCACATGTGCAACATCTGTAAACGTCCCTGCCGGTCCTGTATCAGCCTCTTTATTCACCTCAGAACTTAACCAACCTAGGTGACATCCTTAATAACTCATATCATTGTATCATAGCTGGATGATCGTCATACTTGATTCTGAGTGACAGCAAAGTAGATATGCATGCTCATCTACATGCCAAATTTCAGGTTTACATTGAAAACTCTAGTTGGAGACCATGCAAAATACTGCTACTTTTTTTTTCAATTGGCCTCCAGCTTCCACCAATAGCCACACCTTCGCTGCCATTTTATTACCTTAAAATTAAATATCCTAATACAAAAGTCGCTAACCTTAGCTGTATTGAGTTAGTTAGCCACAGATCTATTTGGCATTCAGTGACTGCTGCCTCATAGTCAATATCTGCTAACGTTGTCGGCTTTGGGGCTGGTAATCTCATTTCCCTAAGCAGATTGAAGAACAGTCGACATCTCAACCAGGTTGTATCGTAACTTCTGGGCTGCTGCTTTTAACCAGATAACACCTCTGCAAGTCTGGCATTGAGGCATCTTGTACTTGGTCCCATCCCACCAATGGTTGTGAACACCATAGGAGTGAAGCTGCCCTAATCAACATTCTGAATTCTCTCCCCATATGCCCTGATCGTGTCATTCTCGTTCCTCCTGTGTGCAGCATTGCGAGCTAGGTTACGGTGATATGCAGCCATGGGATTGAAAATCCTTAAGTCAAAGAAGGCTCGCTGTCCCCACGTCCAGAATCCTCGAGCACTGACGTCCACACGGGCTACATTGGACGTGTTTGAAGTCCTGTTATGGAGGTTCTCACCTTCCAATGGACTCCTAATACTACTTTGCTTTCACTTGGAATCGAATATGATGATCATTCAGCTATTATAAATGAAATGAGTTATTAAGGTGAGTCGAGGGCATGGTACAGGACTCGCAGGGTCGTCCACAAATGTGGCACGTGTGGAGGGCTACGTCAAGTACAAGAGGGGCAGCGGCAGCTTCTTAATGGCGCTGGCACTTGTCTGTCTCGGAATGCAGTCGAGCTAATTCGAAAGTATTGACACCTTGTCATGTAGTGCTCCTCCAAGCGTTACGGTGTGGAGTGATAATCTCCCAGGTGAGGGGGTTGATTTGGCACTTTTTCAGGTTTATCTTAAAGCTATCCTGATACCGCTTCCGTTGCCTGCCTATGTTACGTTTACCATTCGTTCGGTGACTGTAAAGTAACTGCTTTGGCAGTTTACTGTAGTCCATGTGGGTAACATGGGCAGTTCAACTTAGTTGTTCATGGATAATGGTAGCCTCAATGCTCCTACGGCTGGTGAAAGTATTCATTGGCATTAAGGTGCCTCCTGTATGTGTCCCATGTGTTGCTGCCATATAACAGGGTGGGGAGGCCCACTGCTCAGCATACGTGCAACTTTGCAGATAATTTTCAGCTCCTACAGCTGAAGACACGGGTACGGAGTCTGCTAAAGGCTTGAGATACACATCAGATCCGATGTTGAATCTCTTCATCGATGTTTGGGGTGGTGGACAGGTGGGTGGGAGGCTAGATACTGAAAGTGGGTAATATTAGAGAGGAGTGGGTAGTACTGTTAAGCTGGGTGGATGGTGGAGGTATGGTTGAAACAAGGGCAGGCTGATAGAGAATTCGAGTCTTAAGCACATTAACCTCAAGGCTGTGTAGGTGTTCAGGATATCCTGTAGGTCGCGTTCAGTCTGAGCGAAGAGATTGAGGTAATTTGCATCCTGAAGTTCAGTAATGTAAGCTGCCAACACCTTTGTTCCAGCCTGGAATCGTCATGTGTTGAAAAGTCCCTTCATCCGGGACTGGATGTCTATTCCAACAGCTATATTGGCACTGGCACGAGTAAGAAAGGCAGCCAAGAAAATGGAAGAGATAGTTGGTGCTATTATACAGGACACTGCCGTTCATGCCATTGTGGAGTTGTCTCACAATGGCGATGAATTTTGATGGGCAGCCATAACAGCTGGGGGTCTGCCAGAGGGCTTCTCTGTTGACCAAGTCGAAGGCCTTGGTAAGGTTGATGAATGCCATGTACAGATCTTGACGCTGTTCTACACAGTTTTCCTGTATCTGGCGGCAGCAAAGATCGTGTCAGTGATGGCATGTGATGATCTAAAGCCACATTGAGATTTTGGGAGGAAGTTTTCCACCTCAAGAAGAAGTCTGTTTAGGAGGACTCGGGGGATAATCTAGCCAGCTTCGGACAGCAGCAAGATCCCGCGGTAGTTGCCACAGTCTGACTGGTCTCCCTTGTTCTTATAAATATTGACAATGGAGGCATCTTTAGAGCTTGTGAGATTTCCTCCTTTTCCCATGTATTCTCCAGGAGAGGTCCTCCTGCTCTATACACCTCGGCTGGGATTCCATCAGGCCCTGAGGCTTTATTTTTTTATCTGTTCGATGGCAGTAGCTACCTCATCCAGGGATGGAGGATAGCGGAGGTGAATCATCTCTGGATGCTGGAGGACCTGCTGGATAGGCAGGACATCAACATCGGTGTTTTGATTGAGCAGCGAATGGTAGTGCTCTTTCGTCTTTAATTAGGGAGTTACTGTTGGATGAGCGGGGGGGGGGGCTGCGCCGTGAGTGACTGGCCCATAAAATGTTTTGGTGGATCTGCAATTTTTTGTGTTTCACATGCCTTATTTTTCAACCATTCAGTCTTTAGATTGCAAAGTTCGCGCTGGTCCACTGCTTTCTTCCTGTGGAAGGTATGAGCTTTGATCTGAGACTGATGGTTGTTTTGCTAGTCAGTTAAAGCAGCACATTTATCATCAACGAGTACATTGGTTTCTGGGTCATTTTCATCAA